AAAAAAGTGTACTATATTTTGGTAAAGCAGCAGCAAACACAGGAAATAACTCGTTCTGACCCACAACCAACAAACAATACACAGAATAGATTAATATCATCAGCAGATAATATCTGTTTCTTTATTTAAAAATTAAATAAAACTCTGAAATAATTAATTTTATTGTTTTATAATTTATTTATTTTTGCTTTTTATATTTTTTTACTTTTTAATTTAGGAAATACAAATACAGGTGCATTTTCAAGAATGGTAAAATGAATTTATGTAAAAAACTATGCAAAAAGCAAAAAGACTAACCCAAGAAGTTTTGCAAGCTTTGTATTCTTAAACTCAAGAAAAAGCTTTGAAACTCCTGATTGCTTTGAACCAATTAACCTTGATTTTTCTGACATATTTGTTTGAATTGACTCAGTAGTGATAGAATAATTTAAGTAAACATTTGAATCCATTACTGAGTTTTGTAAGCTGTCATTTTGAACTATGATCTCTTGCTCCTTAGAATTTCTAATAATAAAAATTTAGTATAAGATTAATATTAAAAAGTAAAATAATTTATAGTTTTATTTAATTATGGTTTAATAAAAATCACTTAACATAGATACTTTAGATGAAATAAAGTTATTTATTCGAATTTAAATCAAAAAATACTTGATTACTGTTTTTTCTTTGGCAGAAGAAAAGCTGTCACTAGAAGTGAAAATAAAATTCCACTAGCAAATAGAATGTTAGGTATTACAATCTTAAAATTGTCAAAGAATGTTCCTAAAATAAAACAATATAAAAGAATAAAACAAAAAAGTTCTAACAGAACGAAAAAAAAGTTTAATAAAATCAAAATAAAATAAATATTAAGATTAACCACGATTTAATATGATAATAAATAATAAAATGTTTGCATTAGTACTTAATTTTAAATATTTAAAGATTGGAAACTTTTATTGTCCAGCTACATATCCATTTTTCATCTATTATTTTAATAAAAATGTAAATTTGTCTTTCTTAAATTTATAAAACTCTTAATCTGTTCAAACATTACAATGATGAGTACTTATAGACTCTATCATCACTTGCCCCATTAAGCAAAACACAATTTGATGATTATGATAAGGACCGTTACAAAGAGATCTTAAAAAGGGGGTAATGAATTTGTTATTTGTCAACTAAGGCCTAGAAAAAAAATATTTAAAAACTTTTACTTTGGAATTCTCTTCTGTCTTCGTGTTTTTTGACTATTTTTTAATTTTTCTTCTAACTTTCATTTTATTAACTCTTTACTTTCCAATATTTTAAACAGTGGTTTCACCATTAAACCAGGCATGAATCCTACGACTATTTTTATGTGATTTTGTACAACTGCATTTCATTCAATCACTTTTTTCTTTTTTAATGTTGTTTCCAACAAATTTGACAAACTCTTTTCACTTTATTTATCTGGCAATATTTTTGTTTTTGGTGAATTAATGATCATCATGCTAAACTGCTGGAAACAGAACTTTGCTGATACCAAGGTTCAAAACATTTAATACCATCTTTTAGCCAGAAAATTAATTAAATTTTTGGAAAAGTATAAATTTAAGACAGATTTTCCAAACAATCTAAATTACCTTAGTAAAACTTTTATCTAGTTCTTTTTCTACATTAGATTTACCCTACCAATGTAACTTAAACAGACTAGACCCACTAATCTCAAGTTACCAAAACTTAAATCTCAGAAGTTAGACATTTATTTCAAAAGTTAACACTTCTATATTCAGAGGCACACTCTAATTGATATCTGTAACTGAATCCTGCTTTCTACCCTAGAGATATCTGTTCTTTCTATTTTTAAAAATACTATAATCCACTATGTACCTCACAACTATTGCTCATTTATTTTTACTTTTAACAAAGCTAATAATAGTAGAAAGAGTCTTTGAGTAACAAACATCTAAAACCAAATCTTGAATCTAATAACTCAGATAATCAGTATGGATTTCAACTTGTTTAACTGCTGCTAATATAGCACCAAAAAAAACTTATAGTTGGATTTTTGTTTTTATAATTACATTTGAAGTGGCAAACTGACCTCTATGATAAATTTGAGGTGGGAAACATATTACCAATCAATTGCAAAATTTGCCATATTATGTTTGCAAATTTTTAATGATAAATTTACAATGGTTACTCTATAAACAATGCATTCAACTTTGTGTGACTCATTTAGCAAACTTGCATAATTTATTAGAATTAAAAAATCTGTTTAAAATTCATACGAAAAATAGCTTGATAAATTTTCTACTTTGTTTGCAATTTAACTTTATATTTACTTAAAGGTTGGTTTCTCGCTTAAATAGAGGATGACTAACTTAAATAGAGGTTACCTACAGCTTCATTGGTGAATTCAATGTAAAAAAAAAAAAAAGCAAACAGAAGTTTTGTTACCTTTACTAAAAACATTTGGGTATTTAGTAACAGGAAACACTAGATAACCTAAAAAAGTAAATAAATCTTATATATTTGTAATCTATATTTAATTTTAGCATTCTTAATAATAAAAAAAAAATTCCGAAATATGTTATGTCACTGTGTACATAGCATGTGTACTGTGTAAGTTAAAATTAAATATTGTTTTTAAACCAGAGAACCTTTCACATTCATAAAAAATTCTTAAAAACAAAGTATGAGTAAAAACCTAATACAAAGATATTCTTTTATTACCACAGTTAACCAAAAAACATAAATATACACAGCGAAGCTACCTGCAATGCTAGGACCTAAAATGAACCCAATGTTAGATCCTGAAAATACTATACTAAACCCAGTAGCAATGTTTGTATCATCAGAAATCTCAGAAATAACTGCTTTAGATATTATAATCAAACCTAAAAACAATTTTTTAATATTACTATTGTCATTATTATTATTATTGTTATTATTATCATTATTACTATTATCATTACTATTATTATTACTATTATTACACAATATTAATCTAACAATAGCAATCCAAATGACAGAAAAAATTATCTTTTAAATATAAATTAAGGTAGTTAACTGGATGATTTCAAAAACCTTTGTAAAAATAAAATTACTTTGAAAAAATATCGAAACTCAAGAACTAATTTCTTTTGTATTACACTTTATATGAATAAAGCATTTAAATTTCTCTTAACAAAGCATCTTTTGCATATTCTGCATATTTTTAATAAAGCATATTTTGAATCTGTATTTTTTCTTCTTACTTTCTTCTGAAATTTAGATTTTCACAAGTTGCACTTTTATATAAAGCTCTTACAAAAAGGGCATTATCAGAATGCCCTTTTTGTGTAGCACTTATTTTGCAAGTGTTTCTAACACTTGCAAAACAAGTGCTTTCAATAAATACATTTTCAAAGCTCTAAATAAAGTTTTTCCAAATGGCTAGAATCATAGAAGTGTACTAATTTGTTTTATATGTTGTCTTCAGTAACACATTTTTTAAATTTTATTTTTTTGATATAATAATAACAAAAAATCAAAAATTTTTGTAATTATTTCAAAATATTTTTATTTATCAAAATTTATTGTTTGAAAAAATACAAAATTGGGCCTTTTAAAACATTTCCTTTTGGATATATATATATATATATATATATATATATATATATATATATATATATATATATATATATATATATATATATATATACATATATATATATATATATATATATATATATATATATATATATATATATATATATATAATATATATATATATAATAAATATATATATATATATATATATATATATATATATATATATATATATATATATATATATATATATATATATATATATATATATATATAGTATTGCGTACTAAGGTAAGCAATATATATATATATATATATATATATATTGCTTACCTTAGATATATATATATATATATATATATATATATATATATATATATACATATATATATATATATATATATATATAATATATATATATATATATATATATATATATATATATATATATATATATATATATATATATATAATAAATACATATATATATATATATATATATATATATATATATATATATATATATATATATATATATATATATATATATATATATATATATATATATATAGTATTGCGTACTAAGGTAAGCAATCTGACGTCATACTGAAATAACCTGCTGCTGGGGGCTTCAGTACATACATCGACTGACAAATAGCCTGACTCGCAGTGGAGTGCTGCTACATCAAGTGAGGGTTTGGGATAGGGAAGCAATCGTTTCATTCATCATTCTTCGTTTTTTCTTCTTTTTCGAAAATATATATTCACTCAAAAATATGTAACAAAAACAGATAGAAATAAAAGTAATAAAAATCTTGTAAAAGAAAAAATTATTGTCTTTTCAATAATTCACTGTCTGAATCACAAGCTGCAAAAAGATTTCATGCCCAAATATTTCACAAATAGAATTCTAATGGGAGAACCAAGTGAAAGTATAGGGGTAATAGGTACACCATTACAAAATAATTTACTACTCTTATCTACCAATGAAACCTCCTCGAAATACTAGAATAACTCTAACAATAAAAAACTGATTTTAGAACATGTACGGTTCTTGCCCAAAGTTTCTCAAAGATAAAATAAATAAAGAGGAAACTAAGTCAACGATATATGCTGACACTCCTGAAATAGGAAAAGATTGAGAAAATATATTTGGAAAAAGAAAAAAAAAGGAAAATTTATCAACCTGAAAAAAAAAACGGTTTTAAAATCTGCGACTCCAAAAAAGACGTAAAAAACGGTATCGTTAATATTACTTTGATATAACTTCGCAAATCCTGTTGTAAAATAGCTATTACTATTTGTTTTTAAATATCTTGTGGAAAGTTTTTACTAGTACAATAAAACATTTAAAAGAAAAAAAGCTTATAGATTTATTATTTTGCTAATAATGATCTGGTCGAAAGTACCCCTCTAGGTGGTCGAAACTACCCCAGCGGTGGGGTATTCGACCACTTTGAGGCTTACATTTAAAAGAGTAGTAGATTTAACAAAAATAAATTTTTTATATATATTATCTTTTTAATTTGTTTGTTTAAGACCATTACTTGTAATGCTAAAAAAATTTAATTGTTTCTGGCAAAAAAAAACAGCTGTAAATTAATAAAAGCCAGCTAAGTGGTCGAATGTTCCCTGTCTTCCCCTAACTATTTCCTTCTTCTTTTTTTTTTTAAATCAGTTTAATAAATCTTTTCAAACTTTTTTTGCTTGTGTGCATCAAAAGATTTTATGGCAGAACTTTTTTTTTTTTTTTTTTTTTAATATTTCATTACATAAGATAAATTTTTGTGAAAGAGAAACTTTCACACTGCCCGGGGCTATTTTTGTTTTTAGAGACTTTTTTTATGGGCCAGAGCCTAAAAATGACTTAAAAAAAAAAAATGTTCTCTAAAATTTTTGGGGGTCCCTAAATTTGTGGGGCTCGGGGCTATAGCTCCCCCCCCCCCCTCCTTGATACGGAACTATGTAAATTAGGAAAATAAAGATGTATAACAAGGTTGAAAAAAAAAACTCTAATAAGAAAATCTTTTCCAAATATAAATGAAAAAAGCAAGAAACAGTTGTTAAGAACTTAATTTTAAATGAGTTAAAATAAGAAATAAAAACTTTATATGAATATAAACAACCACAGAACCTCACTTAAAAAATTCACCAGTTACAGTGAGTCAGTTTTGCTGAAAGATTATGAAATTTTAAAAGCTTAACATTTTAAAAGTACTTTTATGCAAACTGGAAATTATGCTTGCATATTAACAAATAATAAATAATTTGGATGGATGTTAGAAAAAATATGAAATACATCTTAAATGAAAAAAATAGTATAGAATCACATGAGAAATTTCTATTGTGGGGAAAAAGTATTTCAAAAATTTGTAAACTTTCTCTCCTAATAAAAAAATGTCAGAATTTAAAAATTATAAACACCTGTGTGGCCAGTATTCTAGAAAACCTGTAAAAATTAAGGGAAAATTCTAAACTATGCTAAAAGGTCAGGGAATATATTAAATTTTCCAAAGGTCATGGAAAAGTCAGGGAATTTAGATGGATTCAGTAACAAAATATACATGTATTTTTTCCATATTACAAAAAAAATATTTATATAGTTATTTATTGGTTGCAAATGCTTTTAATATTTGAGCGAGTTTTTATTTTATTTTGATTATTTTTATTGTAAATTTTCATAAATAACAAAAATTTGTTATATTATATTGGCAGTTGTACAAGAATACGAAATTTATTCTGATGCAATACAAACCATTGAATACACTTAGATGAGTTATTTTTTTGATAATCTTGTTTAGAATTTTATGATGAAAGTATTTTAATCTGAAATAAAAATAATAGTTATTAAAATTAAAAATAATATCTTATACAAAATGAATATACTTTTTGTATAAGTTTATTGTTATTCTTTTTCACATTTCGATTCTTAATTTTCAAAAATATTTTTTTATTATTATTTCATGATCAAACAATAAACCAATTTATTGCAGTCTTTTTCATCTATTTCAAAACAGCTAAATGACTAAATGAGTGAATGTGAACAAAATTTGAAATATTTGAATGTGAACAAAATTTGTCATATTATGTTATTAGTTAGAAAATTATTTTAAATCTATCACCGTGGTATTTTTTGATATAGTATTTAGTCAAATTCTATAAATATATATAGTGTTTTTGTTTTGAGTTGATACTCATAGTTTTAATTCTTAAATATTAAGAAAAGTGAGAAGCTTGTGTTGTACTTATATAAATGTGCTTACATCTTTTGTTAAGAAAATAAATATATAAAAATAATGTCAAAACAATATTACTTTAGCAAAGATTGATTAAATAAAACACCTTATGCTGATTGGCTTTGGTAAAGAGATGATTGGTTAAACAAAACACTTTAAAATGATTGGTTTTGGTTAATAGTCCTGGACAGGCAATGCGTTCTATTTATCGAAAAACATTTGATTTAAGTAACTTGAGCATTAGAGTGACAATTTAAAACAAAAATAAATTCGAAAATTATCACTGCATTTGTTTTATCTGTTCTCTCAATACAAATTTAAAAAGGTCTTAAAAACTTTTTTGACCACACTTCATGTAATAATTAATTTTTAAGATATTTTTCATTTTTTCTATTTATTTTTGCTTTTTGTTAATATTAAGCTCAATAGCTCTTTGTTATATTCATTACTTTTTGTAATGAATATTTCCTGCTCATTTTAATTTTAAAAAACTAATTTAATATTGCATTTTCAGATCAGGATGGGAAAAGCAAAAAAAAAAAACAAAAAAACAACTCTTTATATAACTTAAATAGACCGTTGTATTTACTTAAACCACCTATTTCTGAATTGCAACCTTTTCGGCTTCAATGGAATAGTTTTAAGACATTTCTAGTATCTTATCAGTTCTAGATCAAACCGATTTAAAAACTTAAATAAAAACATTGCATGTGTAATTGGCAAAAATGTTGATTTGGTATGCAAAGAAAACACAACATGTCAGCGAGGAAATGATAAATTTTGTCTTTTCCGAAAAATAGTAAACCTCTGGGAACTTTGCTTGGTTATAGGCTTATATTTATAGAATTTCTTTTTAATTATTTTAATTACTTTATTTGGAATTTAATTCTAAATAAAATAATTAATACAAAATTTAACTGTAGTCTTTTAGTTCCTAAGTCTAGGAACAAAAAGGCTATAATGGAAGATCTTTCTTTTATTGAGGATAAGAGAAATGAAAGAGTTCAGTTCGTTAGTCACATTAGATATAAGGAATTAGAAGCAAGAGTTGAAAGGAGAATGGAGAGATA